TCCTGCTTCTGCTAAAACTCAGTGAAAATATGTGATATGTATTATAGAATTGTGAAGATTGACAAACTGAAATCATTTCCTGTGGCATAAAGTACTTGACGTAGTAACTCTTGTCTTGTTTTTTTTTCTACCTTGTTAAAAAATTTATGATTTTTTACATAGTTATAGGATTTATTCAGCTGATTTAATGTACTTCTCAGTGTTTTATCACGTTTCCAACAGTGAAAATGTTTGCCTTATGGAAAATTGAGAGAGGTGGGTAATGTCTTACTATCATCAAAACTGCTACACTGATGATGCACTAATGAAATCAATAAATATTCTTAATTCTGCAACAAAAGTATTTCCACATTCCTATACTCTTTTATTTTTTATGTGTTCTATTAATTATTAGAAAACCTTTTTTCCTCCTTCCAGGATATTTGTTTTCTAGAATACTTCATTTGTACATTTTCTGTTAATGAATGTTTCAATATCCAGAAACTTTCCTTAACAGAATCATACAGCTTAGAATAACACTTAATAGGCATGAGTGAAAATTAAAAAAAAAGTACTAGAAAAAAATTACCTGTAAGCTGAAAAAAACTGGGTAAATGAGGCCTGAAATGCCAATGGATATGAACTTAGCCAAAGCTCTAAAGAAAAAAGAAGAAAGCTGTGTCTTCAGAACTCAGGAAGAATCCAGTTTGGTAGGGCAGGAAGGTCACAGATGCAAGGATGAGAGGAAAAATAAGTACTAGAAAATTAGTTTGGATGATCACAGAGATTAAGAAATGTAGGCTGGGCGATGGTTCTAGCACCTCGCACTTTCAGAGGCTAAGGGGGAAAGATCACTTGAGCCTAGAAGTTCAAGGCCACAGTAAGCTATTATTGTGCCACTGCACTCTAGCCTGAGTGGACAGAGTCAGACCCTGTCTCCAGAAAAAAAAAGAGCGAGCGACAGAGAGAGAGAGAGAGATTAAGAAATGAGTCATAGCCAGGCGTGGTGGCTCACGCCTGTAATCCTAGCACTTTGGAAGGCCGAGGCGGGCGGATTGCTCAAGGTCAGGAGTTTGAAACCAGCCTGAGCGAGACCTCGTCTCTACCAAAAATAGAAATAAATTAATTGACCAACTAAAAATATATATACAAAAAATTAGCCGGGCATGGTGGCGCAGGCCTGTAGTCCCAGCTACTCGGGAGGCTGAGGCAGTAGGATCGCTGAACCCCGGAGATTGAGGTTGCTGTGAGCCAGGCTGACGCCACGGCACTCACTCTAGCCTGGGCAACAAAGTGAGACTCTGTCTCAAAAAAAAAAAAAAGAAATGAGTCATAATTGAAGGAGCACTCTGTGACTCTCTTACCTCTTTCTTTAAATCTATTTTACTCTTCCTTCTCTGTAGGCAAATTTCCTCTATTATTCAATCCACACAGCATAAAGTGGCCATAGCTTAAATTCTAAATTTTCACACCTCATCTGTTCGAGAACAAACACCACTTTACCTGGCCATTCCCCACCTCCCTCAAAGTCCCCTGAGTGAAGGGCAGAATTTTATGAAAGAAGGGAGAAGACTACAAGAGCTGTTTTTCTCTTGGAAATTTCTCTTTTAAGCAGAAGTGAAGGATCCACACACTAGAATTAGTTCCAGCAAGGTAGAGAGGAACTCTGCAAATTATATGCTACATGAAGAAAGGCATTGACACTTTTGACTCCAGACAACACAGGGCTGCCTGTCAATAGCAGCTTTAAGGGCATCAGTGCCCTGACATCAGCATCACTCTTGTCAAAGCAGGCACTGGCAGAACAGTAGTGATGAGCAGCCCAGATACAAAGAGGAAAAAAACAGAATATACCATCCACCAGGGAGAAGGGAGAGAGCACGTGAGAGAACTTTCTAAGGACTCTAAACGGAAATTGTAGCAAGTGATAAAAGTAGAGATTTCTGTTGTGCCAGCATAAGATGTGGAGGTGAAGGAGGACACAATGAGAAGAAACCTTCTAGAAAAGACTTTTAATATTGTCATTTCTTCTGCTTCTTACAAAGCTCATAGCCTACTCTCCCCTTCATCTATGTCCCCTTGATATTCTATAGTGAAAATCCTGTCTCCTGGGGTCTCCATAGCTGTTTAAGGACATTTATTCAACGAATATTTTTAAGTACACACTACATGGCAAGAACTATGCCAAACAATAGGACATAGCTCTGACCTGTGTTTCCTAAAACCAGTGAGCCTGAAGAGCTGATATAAACAGGAGGCTGCTATTTTATCTACTATTGTAAGTCTTGAAGCCTATAGAAAGCTGCTTTAATTATTTCTTGGAATTCCCAGGAAATTCTCACATGACCTCTGTGTTCTCTGAGCTCCAAAGTGCCAATGTTTTTCTCCATTTTGCATAGAAGTGTGTAGAATGCTTCTCTCTTTCATTCAGTTTCACATTTTATTATCTAATCAATGAAAAAGTTGTCCAACAGAGTTGTTCCATTTCCTTTAGTTTTCACCACCAGACTCCCCATTCCTTTGGCTGAGACCCAGGACAATAGGGTATAGAACCAATAATAGAATCAGACATGGTGCTGTATTGCATCTCCTGGCATGCAGCTCATTCCATCCAAAAAATCAGTCTAACTGCATAGGCAAATATAAATCGTTGTTTATAAAACTGGATTTTTCTATCCAAAGACAAATAAGATTCAGTCCATGTGCTCTCCAAAATCCTATAAACAAGCATGCATGAAAATAAAACAAAACAACAATTGTATACTATATGGCCTAGGATAAAAGTCACTATAAAATGTACATTGAAAGCACATATTTCCATCTGATAATATAAGAAAAAGTTTCTGAATCTTTAATAAGTATATTCATTAATTCATTTATTTAACAAATATATACTGATGACTATATGCCAGCTACTATTCTTTATATGCAGTAATTTTTAAAAAAAAAACAAAGACAAATTTTCTGGTCTTATGGACTTTACATTTTAGAACTATATTAATTAAAATACGTGGGGAGGAGGACAACAAAAGTTCAGATAATGGTGAGTGATATGAGGTCAAAAACAGAGCAATGTTATAAAGAATGTCTTGGGGGAAGTTTTAAATAGGGTGATCAGAAAATTCCAAAATGAGAAAAGCCATACATACATAAAATTACAGTGTGTGTCAGAAAATTCTAAGGGTGAGAAAGTGATCATAGCAAGATGAAACTAGAGAGGTAAGAAAAGGATCATGAAGAATTGTGTATGCTATGATAAGTAATTTGGAATTTGGGTTGAAGGCAATTAAAAACCATTAGAATGCTTTAAGTTGTTCCATGAAAGGGCCATGTATGCACAGTGACCCTCCAAATGCCCAAGAAGCTGAGATATCAAAGAATGAGGCAGATAAATCCAGTTTGTCAGTATACAGTAATTTATTAGGGGGACTTACAGACAGAAGCATGGTCTTGGGCGGCTTCAAGACAGGTAGATCTCTGCACAGCAGTCCCCCAGACACAGGGCTTTTATCTTAGGGGAAAAGTACACATGCTTTGGAAAGAATGTGTAAGTGGCTAAGAGAATGCTGCTGGCATCACAGCCTGTGATGTGTGTAACATCATCAAGGGTTGTTTCGGAGGAAAGGTGAAACTTATAATGAAAAGGTATTTCTACATAAAGAGTAATATATCAACTAGATATTATAAAGGCATTCCCAGACTCAGGGTTAGTCAGGCAGATTAGCATTTAAAAATAAAGTCACTCTTGATCTCACAAAAGTAGAGAAATTCTTGTTTTAGAAGGATAATTCTTTAGGAAGCATGGTAGAAGGATTGAAAGGGGGAAATCTACAGTAAGGAAGACCAATTAGAAGTTTATTGCAATTATCCAAATGAAAGATGGTAAGAGTCTGACTTGATCACCCAGCCCACAAGTAATGGGATCTGGTTTCAATGTAGTCTAACTCCAGAGTTTACACTCTACAGCATCTTTCCTCCCTCTTATAGAGTCCTCCATTCTTCTAAAACTATCTTATCTGCATATAAGAATGTCTTCCTAATTATTTTCCCTGATAATATTTTTCCTCCACAACCTGATTCCAAGTGTCTCAGGGCAAGAACTCTTGTCTTCTATTACTTTGTGTTTTCTACAACTCCAAGAATTTCAGGACCCAATGTAACATACTTAGGGTATACTACTTATATACATGAACTTCTTCTTTTAGTTTTAGTTAAAATATTACAAAAACATTAAAAGGAAATCTTTTAAATCTGCCCTCCTGTTTTGACACACTTTTATCCTGTGTTCTCCTTTAGTTTTTGTTTCTTTGTTTGTTTGTTTTTTCGAGACAGAGTCTCACTCTATTGCCCTGGCTAGAGTGCCATGGCATTAGCCTAGTTTACAGCAACCTCAAACTCCTGGGCTCAACCGATCCTCCTGCCTCAGCCTCCTGAGTAGCTGGGACTACAGGCATGTACCACCACTCCCAGCTAATTTTTTCTATTTTTAGTTGAGATGGGGTCTTGCTTTTGCACAGGCTGGTCTCTAATTCCTGAAATCAAGCAATCCTCTTGCCTCGGACTCTCATAGTGCTAGGATTACAGGAGTGAGCACCACTCCTGGCCTCCTTTAGTCTTACTATATATATTATTAATATATAATTACATGTGTTGTATAACTTTTTAAACTTATATGTAAATATTTTCCTATGTTGCTCATAGTTCATATAAACTATAATATTTTTGGATACTTAACTTTTTACCCTTGTCAAGCAAATTAATGTATTTTTCTTTTGAATCTTAAAGAAATAAGATTATTTATCCTTATTTTGTAAATCCCTAGTGGCAGGTGTCTGACTGGTTTTCAAGCAGGATGGTTCATATGATGTTGGACAAATATTTGAAAAAATTTCCTCATTTAAATCACAATATTTGGAATGAAGCCATTTAGTACATCAGACTCATGAATGCATTCCAACACACAGCAATCAAGGAACCACACATGATGCAGAATGTGCAAGAGTTGGTGTCAATATCACAAGAAGAAAAAAAATCTCTGCCTACTGAGAGGAAATGTGTACAGATCCCATGGAAATCTTGGATGCAGTGAGGTTCCAGTAAGGGAGGATAGATGTAAAGACAACCAGTGAGGTAAGACATATCCAAGGCTCAGTGAGGCTTGAGAAGGAACATCAGAGAGAAAGTAAGAGAGAACATTTAGTAAGTGAGACCAAATTAGGTAAATATACAAAAAAATAGCAAGGGAAAAATTTTTTTACTGGCAGAATATTTAATTCTCTGAGTCTTCATGCAGATATATTCAAGCAATGGAAAAGGAAAATCAAACCAGTGTCTCTGAATTTCTCCTCCTGGGCTTCTCGAGTTGGCCAGGGCAGCAGGCACTACTCTTTGCACTTTTCCTGTGTCTCTATCTAACAGGGATATTTGGAAACTTACTTATCTTGCTGGCCATTGGCTCAGATCGTCGCCTCCACACACCCATGTATTTTTTCCTTGTCAATCTGTCCTTGGTGGACCTCTGCCTTCCATCAGCTACAGTACCCAAGATGCTACTGAACATCCAAACCCAGACTCAATCCATCTCCTATCCTGGTTGCCTGGCTCAGATGTATTTCTGTATGATGTTTGCTAACATGGATAATTTTCTTCTCACAGTGATGGCATATGACCGTTATGTGGCCATCTGTCACCCTTTGCGTTACTCCACCATTATGGCTCAGCGCCTCTGTGCCTCTTTGGTGGCTGTACCTTGGATCATTGCCATTTTAAACCCTCTCTTGCACACTCTTATGATGGCCCATCTGCACTTCTGCTCTAACAACATCATCCATCATTTCTTCTGTGATATCAACTCTCTCCTCCCTCTATCCTGTTCTGACACCAGTCTTAATCAGTTGATGGTTCTGGTTGTGGTGGGGCTGATCTTTGTGGTACCTTCAGTGTGTATCCTGGCATCCTATATCCTCATTGTCTCTGCCGTGATGAAAGTCCCTTCTGTCCAGGGAAAACTTAAGGCTTTCTCCACCTGTGGATCTCACCTTGCCTTGGTCATTCTTTTCTACGGAGCAATCACAGGGGTCTATATGAGCCCCTCATCCAATCACTCAACTGAAAAAGACTCAGCTGCATCAGTGATTTTCATGGTTGTGGCCCCTGTGTTGAATCCCTTCATTTACAGCCTAAGGAACAATGAACTGAAGGGGGCTTTAAAAAAGACCCTAAGCCACAGCAAAATCTTCCAGTGATTTATACTGGCTGAAAGGAGTTTAACAGGAGGCAAATCTTAATGAGATAATCATTTCCATTCTCATCATAATTACAAATCTGTTATTAAATACCTAATTAATTACTGACCTATGTTTGCTACAAACTCTAAGAGTAACATATTCACAGGTCTTATCCATTTGAGCTGCCTAAAATACTATTAATGTGGAAAAATATTTATATGTGAAGTCCCTGAAAATCACAGTAAAATGTGAAATCAACATCTCAATGTATCATTAAGATATCACATACAGCCCAGATTTAACATGTGAATATGCCACAGGGAACACAAAATGGAGCATTTTCCCAGGACTGTCTTCCTTCTAGCATGTACTTGAGTAGGTACCCATATTGTGCATGAGAAACACTAGAGAATACAATTACCATGTAATCAAAGGTTCAAATAATAACTGCAATATAAGATCAAAGGGAGAAGATATTAGTGAGGGTTTAAGAGGTCAAGCACAGCTTCAGGAAAAATATGACACTTAATCTGGGTCTTGAACATGAGTGAGTTTTACATAAGAATGATGAGAATATTCAAAACACATGAAGGCTTGTAGGTAAAAAGGAGTATGGTATGTTACTCAATATGAGTAAACATTGAACAAATTAATCTGAATGTAGTAAGCAGTCCATATTAGGGACTGATGAGAGCGAGGGATGGAGAATTATTAACATTTCTCATTCTGATGTTTTGTACTTATTCACATTTTATGATTATATTGTATGCATTTCCTACAACCTGTCTGTATTCCTTTGTGTAAAAAGTAGAATGTATGTCTATTGTCTACACCCATATCTATATCTATATAAATCTTCATGCTGGTCTACAAAGAATTGCCTGGCATGCTTTGAATTATAATTTTAACATTAAAAATTCTGTATTTGTCTTTTACTCTGGACTATGCACAGACTATTGCCTATATGAGAAGCAAACCCTACCTGTATTGAAAGCTTATGCCTTTGTAGCTTTTGATTTGTAGCTCATATCTGATTTAATTGGTCATTTTCAGCATCCACAATATCCTCCAGAGCCCTGAAATTTTCCATATACTGTATATCCATCCATATTTTAAGTTATACCATCCAAAATATCTCTTCAAACTTGGTAAAAATATGCTCAATCATTTTCATGTAACATAATAATTAGCAGGCAGAAAGAGAGATAAAAAGATATACACAGAGTTGAGTAGTTAATAAAATAGCTGAAAGGGCTTGAGAAGGGGACCCTTTCTCCCATAGCCAAAACATACAAAAACCATCTTACAAGATGACCAAGTTACTGTCACTGAATACTGGGTGTTGCAATTTATGCTGCCTAGCTGGATGCTGGGTGCCTATGTTGGCTTGCTGCCACAGTTGCTCCATAAACTGGGCATTTCTGCCACTGCCAATACAATCAGAGAAATTTTCCACTGCCTCTTAGTGCTTTGTACCACCTATCCTTGATTCAAATTGCAGGAAGGCTGTATCTGATTAGTCAAACACAAAACACATGCCTTTGCCCTAAGTACAAGGAAGACAGGAAGAAAACATCTCAGATTTTCACCTGTACTGAACACCATGCTGTGTCTCCCAGGACTGAAGGACTTATTCCCCCAGTTGCTGCGAGTGTTGCTGGCTGATAGCCCTCTCTGACACCTCTGATTCTCAGCACCTCTTCAGAAATTGCTCTCAGCTGTGAAGAACAGCCTGGTCTCCATGGGGCAAGCTACAACTAGGGACAGGACTCTTGAGTGGGTATAAAGGCCTAACCCTCTCATGACAACTCTGAAGTTGTCATCTTAGTTCCGTGGGAGCAGCCAAACCTTTCGTTGTGATTATATCACAGCCCACCTTCTCCCTTCTGCCCAATGCCGCTGCCTTTGCTCCATCACAGGTGTTAATCCCAAGATCACTACCTGTAAACTTCTGCATGTTATCTGTATCTCACAGTATACTTCTCTTGAAACCCAACCTGCAACACCACCTATGATGAAATAGTTAAGACAACATTCTCTGAGTATAAATCAATAAAATTAAAAAGTCATGGCTGGGTGTGGTGGCTCACACCTGTAATCCTAGCACTTCGGGAGACTGAGGAGGGCGGATCGCTCAAGGTCAGGAGTTCAAAACCAGCCTAAGCAAGAGTGAGACCCCATCTCTACTGAAAATAGAAAGAAATTAATTGGTCAACTAAAAATATATAGAAAAAATTAGCCAGGGCCGGGCACAGTGGCTCACGCCTATAATCCTAGCACTCTGGGAAGCCAAGGCGGGCAGATTGCTCCAGGTTAGGAGTTTGAAACCAGCCTGAGCAAGAGTGAGACCCCTGTCTCTACTATAAATAGAAAGAAATTAATTGGCCAACTAATATATATAGAAAAAAACAAGCCGGGCATGGTGGCGCATGCCTGTAGTCCCAGTTACTTGGGAGGCTGCAGTAGGATTGCTTGAGCCCAGTAATTAGAGGTTGCTGTGAGCTAGGCTGACGCCACAGTACTCACTCTAGCCTGGGCAACAAAGCGAGACTATGTCTCAAAAAAAAAAAAAAAATTAGCCAGGCACAGTGGCAAATGCCTGTAGTCCCAGCTACTCAGGAGGCTGAGGCAGAAGGATTGCTTGAGCCCAGGAGTTTGAGGTTGCTGTGAACTAGGCTGATGCCACGGCACTGTAGCCCAGGCAACAGAGTGAGACTCTGTCTCAAAAAAAAAAATTAATGACACATTCAGAAAGAGAAAAGTCCTCCACTTGAAATGTTTTTAAATCTCTCTTAAGTAACTGTTGATTCAAGGAGGAAATATAATCACTTTGAGAATATTTGTAAAATGATGATAATCAAAACATATGGGAAGAGCCTCAGCAATGTGCAAAGGAGAATTCTTAGCCATAAACACTTACATAAAATACATATAAATCTAATTAATTAATTAAGGTTAGAAAAAGACAATATAAAAACTGATGGGATGCAAAAGGAATTAAGAGAAAAGAATAAATCAGAAAACAGAAAAAAACAATAAATGTAAGAGATAGATATTTAAAAAGAAATTAATAAAATAGAGAAATCACTATCTAATTAATGAAAAGAGAGAAGAGCACGAATATACACAATAAGAAACAAGTTACATGAATAAGAAACAAGAAGAGATACCTACAGAAACAGAAAATTTGAAGGAACATAAAACTAGATTTACTTTAATTAAATCTATGCAAATAAGTTTGGAAATCTATCAAAACTGACCATAGATACAAAACCTGAACAGATTGATTCCATAGAACTAATAAAATTCTCAAAGAACTAACACCCAAAAGAACTACACCTGAAGCTTTCATAAAGGATTTCTACCAAAACTTAAATAAATGTCAGAACATAGAAAAACTTACAAAATGTATTCAAAATGAGCAATATTGATATCAAAATTTGGCAGAGATTAGACAAAATTGAACTTGATAAATCTAACTTATGATTACTGATGCAAAAATATAAATAAAATATTAGCAAAAGGAATCCAGCAGCACTTCAAAAGAATAATACATTATGGACAAATATGCTTAATTCCAAGCATACAAGAATAGTTTAATATTAAGATATCTGTTAATGTAACTTATCATGATACCAAAAAGATGAAATGAATAGAAATAATCTTAAAAACTGTCCCAGATAAATACAAAGAAAATTTTAAACTACAAGTGAAGGAAACAAAAGAAAACTTGAATAAAACATACAAAAATTGGAATAAAGATGGTCAATTCTCCCTCAATTAGCTGTAAATTTTAATGTGGTCTCAAAAATTACCAACAGTTTTCAAATCCAGAAACAGGTATTAAAAATTTACAAGGAGAAAATAAATAAGCAAATCAATAAGGGGAACTAGATTCATTAGATATTAAAACATTATATAGCTCCAATAACTGTGTGGCATTTAGCAAAACAACCAAACCAATAGAACAGAACAGAAAGTCTAGGAATTGATGCAATTATAGTCAAGAGTTTAGTATAAAAAATGATGGCAAATGATAAAAAGGAAAAATGTACTATAAATAGAATAGAGGCATATTTGAAAAAAATGGGATCCATTACTCATATCTTTCACCACAACAAATAAATGAATCAAAGTATTAAATGTAAAAAAGATGAAACAATAAATGTATAATAATAAAACATAAGAGAATTCTTTTATATTCAAAATCCAGAAATCATAAAAGAAAAAAATTGACATATTCAACTACATAAAAGTTTTTTTAAAAACAAAAAATAAAAAAACTTCTACATGGCAAAGACATCAAAAGAAATATCAAAAGAATGACATACCCTTAGAGACACAATGGCAAAAAAAAGAAAAAAAAAATATAAAAAAAAAAAAAAAAAAAAAAAAAAGAATGACAAACAGAAGAAAATATTGTAAATCATATTAAAAGCAAAGTTCTAAGAACCCCTAGAAATAGATAAGTAAAAGACTTTAGAAAAAAGGCAAAATATATTAGTAGATAATTCAAAGAAAAAGAAATGCAAATGAGTTTTTAAATACTCAAATTATAAAAGGTAAAAGCAAATTAAAATTACAGTGAAATACCTATAAGATATTTTTAACATAAATTTCATGATGCTTTCTGAAATGAGACATCAGTTAACAGGGATATCATACAATGTCATCAGAATGTAAATTGGCAATATAATTACTACGGTTGACAAATTAGTAGGTAAATAAATAGGTAGATAGAAAGATGGATAGGTAGATACTAAATATAAATACATATACCCTTTGATTCAGCAATTTCTCTTTTGAGGAGTTATTCTTCAGATATAATTGAATATGTACAGAATGTCATATGTACAAGAATGTACTTTGCAGCACTGTTTGGAACAGCCAAAGTAAAACCCACATGTTCATCAATAATAGGAACTAATTTACAAAATTATGGTATATCTATACAACATACAACGTATACAATGCAACTATGCAGTTATAATGAAGAAAGAGGAAACTATTTTTGTACTGATAGAAAGAAACCCAAAAATCAATTTGGGAAGGGAGGAAATAAGGTGAAGAACAGCGTTTGCATACCATCTTTTGGGTAACACAAAAATAGATCACTATACTTGCTTGTATG